TTCTAGCTATGAGGCAACGGTGCTAACCACTGAGCCACCTTGCAGCCCTCCAGGTTAAACAGAAATAATAAAAAATCTATTCCTACATGTTTTGACTGTATATGTATTTACATTCATCATGTGTTACTATTTTAGCAGGAACCTGTAAATTCTCTTACAGGTTTAGTTTCTCACAGTTGCTGACATTAGTTCATATCATCTAAAAGCTGTTCATTCCTTTTATGTCTTGTCAGTTAACTGCTTATGTTGATCCTGTTTGCTTATGTGTTGTACATTTCTATTTTTATATTCTTTATTGTCCATGTTTTAGAGAGTCACTAGAGGGGGAGCTTGACACATCTCACAGTCTGAAAACCTCGGACACGTTTCTGTTACGCTACTCTGGCGACACACAACAGCTTTGACAGGTTTCACTGACTTCTTGTCGCACTGTGATCGTACCATTAGTGTTATCGCCGTTTGTACCCGTCTGATTGCTGACGCTGAATCTCAGGTTGAGGGAGACGACCCAAGGCATCGCCCACGGCACCGTCTTCATGGTGAAGGTGCATTTGTTGCGGTCCAGCAGCGGGATCAGAGGAGACACGTCCGTCAGCCAGCGCCCGATACCTCTGGAAGACAACACAAGCAATCACATCGGACACATGAACTAGAGGAGCAGAAGGACACTCGCAGCTTTTAAATATGAGGCTCATCTGCATGTTTTAGAAAGACACAGAAAAGACGTTTTTAATACAAGCTGGCAACAGGATTGAACGGTTTAAATACAATATGTTGGTGTTCCAAGCAGCGCACTCAGATTTATGGTTTCAGAATAACATCACGCTGTAAAAAACTAAGGAGATGTTGAAATGTTAATCGAATTATTTATTTGCACAATAAAAATCTGTCTATTTAAAGTATTTATTTAAGAGCACAATACAATTGAATTTTATTTGATAAATCCCCCCCATTCTAGACCCGAATGAAAATGTTATTTCCATGTCATCATCTGAGCGACACATGATGACTGCAGGTGAGTTCCACGTCCTCCTCTCACCTGCGGAAGGCGGTGATCCATCGTCCCAGCTCCACGTCGCAGTACGGACTGAGGGCATCGCAGCAGACGAACAGCTGCACCGTGTGATCCCACTGAGCGCAGGACGAGTCCCTCCTGCCGGGACACGACAGCGACGCATCCAGCTCCAGCGTGTCAAAGTCCAGCGAGTCTGCAGACGAACATGAAGCATAAATGGCGATATCGATGAAATGTTTTCCTGACGGTGCGTTAAGGCACAGCCTCATGAGGGAAAGGAGGAGTTTACACCCAAGCTCTAAAACGTCTTCATGTTAAGGTTGTTTTTAGAACCGTTCTGAGCATTCCAATGTAAAGTAATACATCATCAGACCTTAATCTGCTTCCCAGTCCTTTTATTTTTACCAGCCGTTTTGAACACAGTCTGTAAAACCTGCACATTTTACTGCACATTTATGGGACGCTTCATTTTTGTGGTGTGAAGCCAGACCTAACCTAAGCAGCCCAAAGTGTGTTTAAAATGTAAAAATCAATCTTTTCTGTTCCAGCAGCATTATTGTTGGAATTCCTTCCCAGGAATCATGTCAGTAGTCAGAGTGTCTCCCAGATGTTGTCGATGGAGTTACCTAGAGGCAGGTTGACTGTGGCCACCGCTCCTTTTTCCCCCTGCATCTGGACTTTATCAAAAACAGGAACAACTTTGGCAGGACTTTGGAGTTTGGCCTGCAGGTCAGCAGAGAAATCGAACCTGGAGACAGAGTCAAAGTCAGCGATGCTGTGGGTGTCTATTTAATAATCTCAGAGGAAAGATTCCTACAAACAGCTGGAAGCAACAACTGTGACACTGTGTGTGACAGCGTGTTGGATCCTGGTCTCAACTGATCCCATCTCCATGTCAGGGATCAGGATAAGGAATTAATGAAGTTAATGACCGTTAAAGTGTCACTTGTAGGTGGCTATCTGTTTATTGCAGTTCACATTGAAAGTGGCACAGAAAACTGAAAGGCTTCACAGCATCATCAAGCCTCCGTCTGTCCTCTTACCACTGGGCCTGCCAGTTGATGAAGCTGAATGTGGGGTAGAGGAACCAGCCCATCTCAGCCAGCGCCCCCTGTTGGTCAATACCGATGAAGAAGTTTGGGGACGGGGTGGTCTGGAAGGACACGTTCACCTGCTGCCCAAACCTACAAAACAAATTCACACCAGCATGAGATGGTGAAGAATAGATGTCAAACTTTACAAAAGATGGGACAAAACCGAAACTAATTATGGGCTTTAACATGAACTAAAATCCTCAACTAACCAAAAATGACACATTTAAAGTCCCTGTTCTGTTAATGGACTTTCATTAAATCATTTTGTGTGAAGCATCAGATAAAGATTTGACCAAACGTAATAAGAGAGGGGTCAGACAGGCTTCTGAGAATCATCTCTGTGACCTTTTAAAGGAACAAGTAAGCTACATAGAAGGATGTGAAGCATCAACATCAGGAAGCTTTTAATCCTGCAGCTGAGCTCGTCTTACCTGAGCGCCTGAGCGACCGAGGGCTCGTAGTGCACCATGGCAGCCGGGATGCCCAGCGGCGAGGAGCATTCTTCTCCGACACAGTTCATGTCCTGGATTGGGTCACTGAGGAGGGAATAGACGAGGACTCCGGAGGCGTTGGATTTGGCCATGCTCTGAACCTGAAGGACAAACATCCGATAGCAGCTAATCTGTCTGTATTGATATTAGAAACTCGCTCACTAACAAAGAATTGTATTTGAAGGCAAAGATATTTTCTCTCTTGCTGCTCTCCAGAGGGCGACTTGAGATGACTTCCTAAACACGCCTAGAAAACATCTTGGACAGGAAGCCACGAAAGCATCATTAAGAAACACTGAATGGTGCTTTTTGAGAATCTAATTTTGAACTGAAATGTTGAGCTTGGGGCTGCAGGGTGGTTCAGTGGTTAGCACCGTCGCCTCGCAATGAATCTCTTCTCCTACAAAAATTATATATCTATATTTTTTTTTTTGCATGGCCCCTGACTGATTAACTCAGTCATACTTTCATTTCTAAAAATAAATGCAGATCAGAATTTCCACATCTTTTCAAGCTGCTTTCTTCAAAACCTGAAGACATCCAGTCTGAAGGACATCAAGCAGCAAAACTCCACCTGATTGGCATTTTGGCTTGAAATCAATTTTCAAAAATAGCTTCTTGTCCTTTAACAAAACAACTAATTTACCAAAAAAAATGTTTGTCAGACTATAAAACCGAGCAGATTATTCTGATTATTCTTCAAATCTATAAGGGATGTGAGACTGAATTTGCTGAGATTGGGACGTCCCAAAATTGCTTTATGGATCAAACTGGTTTAAAGTCTCCAAAGAGACCCGGATGGATATTATCTTGCTGATTTTAACAAATTAGAAGAAGCGGTCATCACTAAACCGTCATTAACAGACCTTGGTGAAGAAAGAGCAGCTGCCCTCAGACACCCAGGCCACAGCGCCCGCCACTGACGGGGACGGTTCACACCCGTCTCCTGCATCGACCAGCGGGTAGGACTTGGGCCCCCAGCGTGCCGTGAGCCAGTCGTATCTGGCGTCTAGTCTCTTGATAATTACGGGCATGGGCCACCCTGCAGGGAGATGAATGACATTACAAAACGTCCCGGAGAGTTTGTATATTACCGATTAAGCAGTTAACTAATATATTTTTTGCCATCTGCTTTGATTAATCAGTTGAGTAAATAGCAAAACAAAAAAAATAAGCCAAAAGTCACTGATTTCTCCGGTTTAAATTTGGAAACTTTCTGGTTTACAGTGCATCCGGAAAGTATTCACACCGCTTCACTTCTACCACATTTTGTTATGCTACAGCCTTATTCTAAAATGAATTAAATTAATTTTTTCCCCTCAAAATTCTACACAAAATACACCATTGTGACAGCTTGAAAAGAGTTTTTGGGAGATTTTTGCAAATTTATTAAAGTTAGCTTTTTATTTTTAATAAATTTGCAAAAATATCAAAAAAGCTTTTGTCAAGTTGTCATAATGGTGTATTTTGTGTAGAATTTTGAGGGAAAAAAATGAATTTAATTCATTGTAGAATATGGCTGCAACATAACAAAATGTGGTAAAAGTGAAGCGCTGTGAATACTTTCTGGATGCACTGTATTTGCTCATCTATGACAGCAAACTGAATAAATCTGAGTTGTGGACAAAAATAGAAACTTGATTGAATGAGCAACGGAAACGGTCACCAGCTGCAGCCCTGTTACTGATTCCACCCTCACACAGACTTCACAGACAATCATCTAATACGAGGAGCAACAATCAGCTGAGCAATCTGCTGCTCATGAAGAAGACACGTTCTTACCCTGGCAGGTGAACACAGCCTGGGAAAGCCCACAGTTGTGTCCCATGCAGCTCCAGTAGTAAAGCACATTGGGGATCCAGTTGCCCAGAGCGAAGACCGGCACCGGAGAGAAGTGCAGCCTGGACAGAACCTCCTTCTTTCTGCAGAAAAGGATAAATGTGGGTTGTTTTAGACACAAGAGCACAGATGGTTGTAGTTATTTACACAGAGAAAGGCTGATACACATCCTCATATCAACTACATAGACACAGAATAACGTGTCAGAAAATGTCAAAATGTTTAACATGATGCCGAAATAGCTTAGAGATTAATTAAATGCTACACAGACATTTTAGACAAAAAAATGCATCCAATGAAACTTCACTGTCAGTGTGATGCAGCAAGAGACACCTGTTGTTCTTGTTCACCTGAAAGTATGCAATACATGGGGAAGGAAAACATCTGAACACTTGGCTGGGTACATTCCCCTCGTGACTGCACTTCCTCATTTTCAGTTTGGCTCGTCTGTGTTCGGTGCCCCGTACAGTTGTATATTTGCCTCTACTTGTAGATTTTTAGGACTGTTTTCCTTCGACATGCTGGATTATTTTGCAGGTCTTTCTGGAGTATTATTGCTCTTGAAAACTGGGAAGGAAATGATTTGGCCTCTTTTGCTTTAGAATTGTACGTTTCAGTGCTCAAATCCAGTTACAAGAAAATATCCAATAAAGCATACAATAAAACTTTACTGTCTTGGGTTTCACGTGATCTGTTTACTGCTCTTATGCCCAGAACAGCTTCACAAGTTCATACTTCTGCCCTTAATGTGATCTCTCTTGGCAGCAGACCTTTGATTTGTGATGAAATGAGTCCTCTGTTGCTCAGTTAACTTGGAAAGTAACTAAATACTCAAATAGTGTTTGAAGATACGTGTACTTTACTTGAGTATTCACATTTTGAGTTATTCATATATATATATTCATACCCTCCCATTATAGAAGGAAAAAAATCTGCTGTCACTGAAATAAGCTGAAATTGACAAAAGCAACAATAAATAAAAATTTAATGAAAATCACGACGTTGCTTTTGAATTGTGGTTCACCAGAAATATATATAAAACAAAATAAATAAACAAACAAAAAACAAGCAAACAAGCATGATGGGACCTGTAAACTAATATTTAGTTGAACAACCATTTGAGCCAATCACTGCCATCAGGTGTTTCCTGTAACTCTCAGTCAGACCTGTGCACCTGCTGACAGGTATTCTGGTCCACTGCTCATCAGCAAAGGGCTCTCATTGGTCCAGGACAGTTTTTTTTTTTTTTCTTTCTTTTTTTAAATTATTCTTTTCAACCACAATCCAAAAGCAACGTTTTATTTCACTACATTATAATTTAGCAAATTTTTTTATTTATTACTACTTTTTTCAGTTTCTAGTTATTTGAGTGACTGTTGTGTATTTTGCCTTTCCTTTAATGGAAGGGGACGAGTACATCGGACTGTATCTGTCAGGCTGCACCTCCGCCCCACAGCGGCGCCTCCTCCCCGGTCACCTGTGCGCGGCGGCCCGCTGCAGCTGCTCCCGCATCCAGAGCGCATCGCTGACGGCGGAGTCGTCCAGCGACACGAACAGCACCTGGGCGCTGTCCGGCAGAGCGTCCACCAGGCTGCTCAGGGAGGACTCGGAGCTCCACAGACACTCCAGAAAGCCGGACTTGTTGGTGAAGGCGTGGATGACCAGGGGTCCCCTCAGGGCGCCCGGCTGGTACGTGAACTCCCCGTCCAGAGTCGGGACTTTAAAGGCGGGAGCGAGGTCGCCCGGCTCCGGGCCTGCGGAGGGCGGCGGGTTGGACGTTGTTCTGGATCCGAAGCTGAGCGTGTTTTGGTGTGAACCCACCTCATCACTGCCCAGTGCCGTCCGTGTCAGAGCAGCTTCAGTCACGTGATGTGTCACAACAAGCCACAGCAGCGCAGACAGTGAAGGCAGCACCACCATGATTCCGCCGCCAGAGAGGGTCCGTGAACTCACCATGAACAGTCCGGTCCCAGCATCACCACAGCGGACCTGATACCGAATTAAACACCGGGCAGGTGTTTAACTAACGCGGACTGACAGACTTCTTCCTTCCGCCTAATCTTCACATCCACATTTGAGTTGGAGGCGGGCCGAGCTGCTGTCTACGGCGGCCCCGCAGGGACAGAAAGGACGGAAACGCGAAGCCGAAACTGAGACGTCCTTTGGTTTTCAAACTCAGCTGAATCTCAATCCGTTTGAATAAAGCATGTGAAAATATATTGTAGTATTGTTTTTAAAGCGACCATATTTGCTAATAATAATAATAATAATAATAATAATAGTTTTACTAGGAGAATCTGCCCGACTTTATGTTTTTTGTTGTTGTTGTCATAGGATGCAAAGTCTGCTTTTTGCATTTGATGGATCTGTTGCATAAATACACCGAATAAGCCAAAGATGAGCTCTGAGCACATATAAAAACTCAGCACTGACTGTATCACAGCTTAGGCCTGATGCTGCTGTCTTCAGACCCACTGAAATAAGGTTTGACTTCCAATCCAAGATGTTGTTGTTTAATAGCAGCTTTGACATTTCTAATCCAAAAAACCCTACTTAGACTTGACTCTTGACCTGCACTGTGTCATAAACTTTGACTCCAGTGGACGTTAAGCAAGATAATCATCCACAAAGACTGTGACCATGACATTTGAAAAGTCAACCTCAGATTTTTCTGTATTAGTTTGACAACATGAGACAAAACGCTCTTCTTTGCTTTGTGCCATAAAGCCATTCGCTCAAGGAACCCTTTTATTTCATGTTTCTGTTTTTGCCCTCTTGATCAGGCTCTTCCAATACAGACAGAAATTTTGTAGATGCCAGAAATTTCCTCTGGAGCTTCTTTGTGACCTCTGTAGCCCCCGGCTCTGCTTGGAACTTTGAAGTCAAAATGTGGATGGCTAGGGCGCTGCTTTACCTGGTTGAGCTGGTGACCCATGTACAGCGGCCATGGGTTCGAATCCTGCTCATGGTTAGAATCCCATCCTGCAGGGCATGAAGTTAATACACAGGCAGAGTAAAATGCCAACGTGGAGAAATGATGGGGGATAAATGGCTGTATGGTGTCACTCATACCTCAAACTACAGGGATGCACAGTACTCGCTTTTGTCGCGCTTAATAAACACCTGATACACTGAATTAATCAAGGTGTATTTCTATTGAGACTATGAGCTACGTCTGTCAGAAAGGTTGTGCTGATATAAGTCAGCGAGTCAGTAAAATAATCTCCCCAACTGTCAGGACCTGCTGAGTCACCACGAGTTTAACGTCGCAAGTGGCACCGACTCTCACTGCTCATTTTTTAAAGTGCATTTTTATTTGAGTGCAATATCAGCTACGCATTGCTTTTCAAAATGATCCTGATGAAAAAGATGCACTTCTTGTGCAACAGGTGGTCACAGCTCAAACGAGATGCCACGATTAGAGTGATGTCAGTGAAGCACGTGTGCCCAGTGCTTCTGATTCTAAAAAGGGAGCTACAACTCTTCATTTTGTGTTTCAGTGCAAAACCTCCCTTCCCAAAGTCCTTGGACTAAATGCTGGTAGCGTACAATATGCCAGGCTGAAAATAAAATAGAAATACTAACATACATTTTTCTTTGCATTTCTTTCTGCTTTATGCAAGAACAAATGGCCAAAAGATGAAGTCATTGAAGCTATATTAGTGAGAATGACCAGAAAACCAGAAGGACTTTGGTAGTGTTTTGTGATTTCACACTATTTAACATCGCTGCTTACAGTTCTGATGGAAGGTGAAGCACCGATTCATTTATTCTCCCCCCCCCCAAAAAAAACAAAAACAAAAACAAAACCAAAGAGCAAGTATCATAATCAGAAATGTTTTGTAGCATTTAAACAACAACAGTATTTAACATGTTTGTGTCTGATGGGCAGAAGGAGCTCTGAGGATCCAGCTGTAACTGGTGAAGTCTGCCTGGTAACTGCTGACTTCAGGCCTGCAGGAGGAGCTCTGTGAGCTGCACAGAGGATAGAAGATCACTGATGAAAACTACATTTGCTTTGTATCATTTCAGACAAACCACAAAAAATGTTTTCATATTTCACAAGCATGTCACATTTAACAGTCGTGTTTGAAGCCCTTACTGATGCAGAAAACACTCCTTGGCGAACAGTGACATCTAGTGGAAAAGTAAAGTGGTTAAAACATCCATCATCATCTCTACACCTTAATCCTCACTAGGGTCATGGGGGGCTGGAGTCTATCTCAGCTGACTCAGGCTGAAGGCAGGTTCACCTGGACAGGTAACCAGTCTATCACAGGGCTACACTTAGAGACAGACAACCAAGCACACTCACATTCACACCTACGGACAATTTACAATCACCAATTAATCTCAGCATGTTTCTGGACTGTGGGAGGAAGCCGGAGAACCCGGAGAGAACCCACGCTGCACGGGGAGAACATGGAGACTCCACGCAGAAAGATCCCGGGTGTCCTCACCGGGACGCGAACCTTCTAGCTGCGAGGCGACGGCACTAACCACCGAGCCACGTTGCAGCCCTGGTTAAAACATCCACACACAACCATAATAAACACCTCTCACTCTTCAATATCATCACAGGTTTATTAAGTGACTTTGTACATTACAAATGAAAAATAAAATTAAAAATACATAGATGGAGTACATAGCCAAAGCAAAATGTGATGTTGACTCTTCATTTCCCACTGATCATTTCCGCAGAGTGACTGAATTTTTTTCATCTTTTTTTTTTTTTTTTTTAAATGCGTCCCAGAACCACTGTTAGACGTGGAAGTGTTTTTCTTTAACAGTGGACGCTGCTGTCGAGTCTCTGAGGAATTTCTAAACATACAAAAGAAGTTATTACTTCAGCTGGCTCGGTATATATAAAAATAAACTAAAGTGAAATATAACACTTATGACATTATAAATGGTGGTCCAAGGCTAGTGGAAATAGCTAAACACAGAGGAGAAAAAAGCGTTACATTTGAGAAAAAAGAAGCTTAAGCCATTTTGTTTTTTTAAATCTATAAAAAGGCCCAAGGTGCATTTTATTGTTCTTGTTGATTTCAGGTTGTTGTGTCGACACCGTTTCAGTTCAGCCTGTTGCTCTGATGGGACGAGGGTTTGTCAGGTACACTCAAAAACAAAAACAGGATTAGTTGATGCCTTGTCCTCTTCTCACTTAATACATGACGGAAGATCAGGTTAATGTTCATATACGGTTACTTTAATTTCTCCTGTAAACAAATAAAATTCACCAGAAATTGATTGTACAACAGTCAGACAGAGGATTTTCTCGTCTTTGCTCTCCACACCGATCTGTACACATCAGTCATAAAAGCAACCTTGGGAGGTGGAAAAAAGGAGCAGTAGGAGGGGGTGGGGGCAGTATTCAGTAATAACAACAACAATAATAATAATAATAATAACATCAATAATAATAATTAAAATAATATGGGTTTGGCCTCACTAAAATGGGGTTATTCTTCCTGTCGTTAAGGTAAACACATTCCTTGATGATGATGAGTCCTGAGGCAGCGGGGGGGCTCTGCGGTGCCGGTTCTGGCCGTGCATGCAGCCGCCCCCTCACATACCCACCAATGCCCCCAGTACACCGTCTCGTGGCTGGAAGCAGGAGCACAGCTGTGCTGGCAGACAGAGCAGGGACAGGGGAAGAGGAGGAGGAGGAAAGAGAAGAGAAGAAGAAGAAGAAGAAGAAGAAGAAGAAGAAGAAGAAGAAGAAGAGGAAGAGGAGGAGGAGGAGGAGGAGGAGGAGGAGGGGGTGGGGTGATGTCAGTGCCACACACGGGTGTCCTGACCGGCAACGTTGGCAAACAAAAATAACTCGAGTTGGGGTGGTCCTGCCGACTGTCCTTAAAAGATCTTGCCTTTCTTTTTGTTTTTCTCCAGAGTCCTGCAACAGAAGAAAGAGACAAACACGAATCGGTAACCGCTTTAAATAACATTTCAGCTCTTCTCGGCCAACTCATGCCTTCCGGATCCACGTGTCTGCAAGAGTAGCCACGAAGAAAATGTGAAGAGTTCATTTGCAAAAACAGATAACTCCATCTTCACAAACCTTCAGAAAACCCACGTCTCCATCGTCTACCTGAGACAATACCAATCAAACTTCAGTTATCTCTATTGTTGTCATTTCTACTGAGTCAAATCCACTCAACTTCAGCAAACAACAACAACAACAAAAAAAACAAGTTTTCTGAAAATCTACAAAAATGGAGTCATCTGTTCTTGCAAATGAACTCTTCGTGTTTTCATCCACCCAAGTGTGCGAGGATTTGCTCGGAGCCCTCGGCTGAGGTCTGCACGCAGCCCAAAGCACGCGACTGCACGGACTGTCGGTTGCACCAGGAACACTAATGTTTACTTTGAGGAGACACTGAGAGGAGATTCTTCATCATCAGCACATGTAATATTAATTTTAAAAAAATGTAATTGAAGTATATTCTGCAGGACTTTAAAGGTGCTTTGATTTGTACACGTTTTCCATCAGCATCGCTCTAAGTTCAGCAGATATTATGTTCATGTCCTTCCACTGGGCTCAACACACCTCGAGATCAATCAGTGCCACAGTGCTGCAGCCTATAAAAACCAACACTAGATGCTACATCCCATAAAAAACAAAGTCACAGCCAGTATTTCAGAAGCATCTACGGAGCCCTTTGTGCATTTGTGTTCAATATGGCATCTCCACTGCAGTATGAACAGAACTGCTGGTGCGTCCACTGAATTTTTATGCAAAGTTTGAAGAAACGTAACATTCAAAGAAAAAAAGGGGCAAATAACCAATTTATTTGCCACTGAAACTTGCAGCCTCACAGCGTTTGAATCTGTTGTAATCAGGAAGTGGTTTGTTAAATACAGAAGTGTGACAGTGAGTTTTACCTGGAGGCCTCCAGTTTCTGCTGCTCCAGGCGCTGCTGGGCCTCCCAGTTCGCTCTCTCGTCCTCGAACACACGTCTCTTCTCCTCCAACTCCTTGTGCTGAGCCTCCAGGTTCTTCTTCATCTGCTCGTGACGCCGCTGAAGCTGCAGAGAGGCAGGACGGTAGCAGCTGTCAGCACTTTGTACTCAAAGCACTGCATGCGATCAATAAGCTGAATGCAGCACAGACGGCAGAACGGGATCGAACATTATCAAAACTATATCCTCTGTAGTGACACTGAATGAGAAGAAATAACACCGGAACTGAATCAGAGAGAAACTGCATTTTTGTGACATTTCAACAAACTTGTTGTCGATTAAATACTCCAGAGAGAAACATGCACAGCCGATGAAATGAAAAAAAACTTCTGCTAAGTCTTTATGAGAGTCGCGAGGAGACGAGCTTGTGTTTGTGATGTTATATTTATTAGTTTTAAGGCTTATTCCTGATGTTACTTCACCTTCTACTTAGCTTACAGTGTCACATTAGCACACATAATATTTTGCACTAAAAAAGTCATTTATTTCCAAATTAGAATATATCCAAAATTAATCCACAAGTCTGCAACATCAGCACTGCTTTCACACACTTTGTATGTAGCAGTGGAAACAGAAGAACCTCAGCAGGTTGTTGATGCTCCAAAATGGACGTATTTACATTCTTAACTGCCTTCAACTTTCACCTGATCTGAATCTGCTGGTGCTGTAATGCCATTTAATTATCTTAACACATGTCAAAAATTCTTTTTAAAAAAAGGGACGAGTGCTCCACGTGTTTAACAGACATGAACCCTGGAGTCACGTTCACGGGACCGATACAAAAAACGCACGTACAAAAGAGGAAGCTAGCAACGAATCAACAGCACAGCTCTCAGACGGCTCCTTCACACCTCTAACCACTGATGTACGTCAGGACAAGAGGAAGGAAGGAGCCCAGACAGAGATGAGTAACTTCACTGAGGCATGAACTGTCATATTTATTAACCTACAGTGTGTGTGTGTGTGTGTGTGTTTTCACCTCTGCTTCAGAGTCTTTGAGCTTCTGCACTTTCTCCTTGACTTTCATCTCAAACACCTGCTCCATCTCCATCTCCATCTTCTTCATCTTAGCCACGTGCTCTCGCCTCTCTTCCTCCATCTGGGCCAGGGGACTCCTGCACAGCGAGCACGGGAGCACACACACACACACACACGAAAACACACACATTTAGACCCACACTAAAGAGCACTGTCAGCAGCACGCCTACTCATTGGTATGCCGACACACTATTAACAGGAAGCACTTATGAAATGTAGTTAACTTAACAAACTCAACTCTTCCAGCTAGTTTGTTCGGCTAAGAAAAATCTTATTTCATGTTTTGGCATGCAGATTGAAATCATCTACAGGAGATGATAACGAAGGGAGCAGAATGAGGCTTGGAATACAAAGAGCCATATTCTGCATTTTAACAAAGAACAGCAGCGGTCAGGAAACACATCTGTTCCTTCTGGTCAACTAAAATTTGAAAACTTCTCTCATCGACTTTAAAATCCATGCAGTCTGTATAAATCACAAAACATTCTTCTCCTTTTCCAAAGATATGCAGCATGTCGGGGGGAAGGAGGGAAAAACAAGGCTACGAGTGAAGATTCAGGAATGACAGGATCCAACAAGGTGGTGACAAGAGCAGGAAACCAACCACGAGGTGTTTTTGGGAACCACAGGAGGGATCCAAAGGCTAATGCGAGGAACCTGTGGACACTGACTGTTAGTGCGAATGGTGGGTTAATTGTTAGTGAAGCTCCCCGGGGCGGCTGGTTGCAGTGTGAATGTACAGAGACCTGCCATGAACCATGTGGAGCGGTTACCTGAGATTATGAGGAATGACTGCTGGAGAAGGATGATGGTTGATGCAAAAACTTTTTGAGGCTTTGTACATTAATCTATTTGAAAATTAAAGGATCAAACCACACAAAAGCTCAGCTTCTGCTCACCTGTGGATGCAGGTGTTTGTGAGGCGCCTGCTTTTTAAGATGACTGAAAAGTTCCTGAAAAGTTTTCTCACTCAGCAGCAGAGCAGTCGGGTCACATATGAACAACCAAGACTTTGCATTTCTCTCATTGGTTTAAAATAAGCAGCGACAAGTTGCTGTCGTGCATTTCTTTGAATCAGTCGGGTTTCAGCTTCTTCAATCAAAGTCTGGTGCTTTTTTTTTTGCCAGCTTGCTGTCAGTCACATTTGATGAGATCACCCCCGTGTGGTCCTGATGAGTGTCTGAGTAGACGTGTACATGGTTAGCACACTGTTAAACGGATTAAATGTTGCACCAGAAATACCAGTTGGTTAAACTAATTATTCATGTTTATCAGCGCCAGTTAACTGTTGTGTCTGAGATGCTATACAGCCACCTGCTACTATTTCTGGAGTCTCATCGCCATGCTAATGCCTCGATGTTGTAAACTAGACGGGTGCAAAGTGGGACAAAGGACATGTGATGAAACCGATGTGGCTTCACAGTATTTTAATTTAGAAAATGGAAATAAGGTTGTATGTAGGCAGTGTCAGAAAAAACACTCCACCAGAGCAACCGCATTAAATTGTTCTCGATGTTGACTGTTTGCTTTGTACTTTCTTCCTCTTAGACGAGTTGACCAGTCCAAGTTCTCTATTTAATCGACTGAGATATCAGTCATCTGGAGAATCTATACTTTTGAGTGTTGAATTTATAACAACCATGACCTCAGTATGATTTTCTTCAACCTTTAACCCTGATCCTTTGTGTATTAAGTCATTAAAATACAGCGCTGTAGAGAATGGGGCTAAATAAAGCTTTCAAAAGCTTTAATGAGTTTAGAAAAAGTCGGTGCAATGATGGACTACAGATATTACTTGTGCAGTTTGCTTCTCCAGTCGGTTTAGAGACGCTTTCTCCAAGTAGACAGCTCGTCATGATGAGTGACAGGCTGATGGAAAGTACAATGGCAAACATATTTTCGCCTCGCATACTTGTGCTGCGTCTCATAAGCACTGGTAACCGCTCGAACATCAACAATGCAGGTCTCTTCTGTTAATCCAAGCAGGGCCAAGAGCAGCAGCAGCAGCAGCAGCAGGTGGAGGCAGCAATGAGAGTACGAGAGGAAAGACTTTGGAAAAAATGAAAGCATCGCAGTCCTGGCTGGCAAACTATGCTCGTAAAGAGGTGTGGCAATTCACAGCTTTCCTCCTGAAAATGTGTAGCGACGGAGGGAAGCTGGAGGTCAACGGGGAGGATAGAAAACACCCAAACACAGCGAACTGGGGAAAGTAGAGGAAGGACACAGAGGTGTGAACATCTGAAACAAGGGTCTGAGAAATAGTGAAAAAATGACCACTTACATTCCTTCAACTGTGTCAAGTCTAAAAAAACAAAAACACACACAACCAAACACACACACGCACAGACACACACACACAGCATGCAATGATGAGATCATGCACTAAAACTCTTTCAGACCTATTCTGTGACTGAAACTACTCTTTCATTGCAAATGGAAACAAAAAGTAGAGCCTGGAAAAAACAATAATGTCTGCTTTGTGAGCTGGGTGTCAAATCCATTAGCAGAGCTGGTCAAACGTTCAGCTGTGTGTTAGCATCAGCAGCGTGAGGCTCCTATTCAGCTGTAGTGAGTTAGCCGTTTGCTTGTCATGAGAAAGCATGATTGTGTTTTTGATTCAAACTTCTGACAATCAGTGGCATCCGCAAAGTGAGGGGTTATGACAAAAGCCCTGCAGTGCTTTTTCAGATATCACAAACAGATGATCAGTGAATGAAATAGTCCTCCAGCTTTGCCTTGTCATGACACTTGGAACCCTAATAATCAAGTGAAATAAGGACATGGAATCATAATGAGACAACACAGGCAATCATTTTCTATGTGCCGATGGAAATTCGACCAAACCTTCTGGAGCAAAAGCAACATATGAAATGACACGTTAATCCCAACGTGGCCTGCAACGTTAGAGTCTCTATAAAATCAACAGATTCCAGTTCACCTTACAAGAACATACATTCTGCATTGTGCATGCTAGAAACATCTCACTGAGCTTTCTAGTATCCTTCATTTGTCCATATTTGAGTTTGAAATTTTAAAAAAACTGTTTCTGGTAATACAGTAATCTCAGAAATGTAATAAGCGTCCAAATAAACAAGCGACTGAGGCAGATAATCAGAGGTCCCGGTGAACTTATCCTGCTGTCTCTGGTGTACTTGGTTCTGGACTTACTTGGTGGACAGCTGTCCTTTAGCCCTGTTGTTGTCCACTCCATTATAAGTGACGGCAGCCAGCTTCCTGCTGCGGTAGTTTTCATAATGGACGTTGTTTGTCACATCCTTCAGGTCCTGCATGTGAGTTCTGAGGATGAAGGACAAGGAACACATTTTTAAAATACTCTCAGACTTATTTCAACTGCTCTTTGTGCAATGCTGTCTTCTGAACTGTCTTCATAAAGATGTTGTTAGTAAATGACATCGGTTTGAGTTGTTTCCTCAGTACCTGATGAGCATGTCCCTAAGGATGGTGAAGTCGCAGTGGTCGCTGTTTTCAACTAGGAGGGACAGGAAGTAGTCAGTCAGTGAATTATTAGGATAAAAAATATAAAAACACACAACCTTGTTTGTACCTTAGACAGCAAGTAGCATCTTTGGTCCAACGCATTAAACATAACGCAGCATAACAAATAAATAACTTCTACACAAGCACTTTTCTTATGTGTTGACTAAATATCGTACTTATTTTTGTTTCTGGGGATAGAGTTTAATTTCATACCTTCTGCAACCCCCCAGGGGTATTGTCTCCCTCTGACCCGTTTGCCATTCACCTCGATAATGGTGTTGCTTCCTACTACAGCCAGCGGCAACTTGTCCTGGCGAAACAGAAATACAGGTATGTGTATTTGCTTAAAATAATGCATGTGTATGAATGTGGCTGTACAAAACACAACTGTACTGTTGGGAGTGGATTTGGCAAAGGGCATACCTTTATCTTCTTCACCAGTCTGTTCTCTTCTTCATCATCTGTCTCAGGAAACTCGTAAATCTTGATTTTGTGCTCTTGGATTTCCCGCATGATCTAGCAGTAAGAGAGAGGAGCTTTAGGCGGCTGACAGGCCTGCTGATGGGACAGAGCTAAGCACAACGGGGACCACGCTACTGGACCAGAGAAAAACCATTCCATTAAAAGAAAACAAGTCATGTGACATCGGTTGTTCTAAATTTAAAATTCTTGATTACAGTTGATATACAAATCCATACACGGGTTGCACACATTGTCTACACTCACTACTTTACTAAAGCGACTTTAATTTGTGACAACAGATGCTACAGCTACAAATTGCTGCAATTCTTTATCTCCTATCTAGTGTTAATAAATCATATTTCCTGAAATTGTTACCAGGGCCTGAATTTACCTCAGCTGCTGAAGTAAATTCAGGCCTTTATTTCTTTTGTTTGATAAAAATAATTCGTCATATTTTTGTACAAGACCGTTTGCATACAGAAGGGGGTCCAAATACAAACTTGACATCTCCTGTAAGTGTTTCTAATTAAAAGCTCTCCAGCATTAACAGGGCATTATTGTAAAACTTCTGCATGCATCCCATAAGCAACATCTGCCAGATTTAAGGATGTCAAAGTGGATCAGAATGAATAGACTAAGAGATGTTTAAATTAGCACGATTATGTTGTTAAATGTATGAAAATAAAGAGGTAGAAATGTCCACTACGCTTCACTGGCATGCACATTGTACACCAGAGATTTATGAACCTTTGATTTTCTGCCCACCCTGTATCTCTAGACCGAGCCTTTGTTTGTGTGGACCTCACTTCGGACCGCTACTGGAAACCAGGCTTTGACGACCAGTTTCTTGTTTGAGGAAATACAATTGTGACTTCATTAACTTTTGCTGACAAAACAGCAGTTTTATCCCAACTTGATGACTTTTTGTTTTCATTATTAGTTGTTGACGTGAACTAACCCCTGAGCTGTCTACATGCTGCTGTGTTCCCGCTTTTACCTGTATGTATACAGAAACATCTTCCATACAGTGCAGGATGTAGGGCAACGCTGGACAAACAGATGTGATACCAAAGAGGGAGTTATTTGATGTTTGCTTGGTGATGCACAGCATCGCCATCATACCAGCGACCACAAGAGAGGGAAAAAAAAGCCTCTGAGATACTTTTTCTGTAGCAGTATGCAGCTGTGGAAACCACTGACCTGCTTCTTGAACTGTTGGCATTCCTCTGGGGTGAGAGTGTCTGCTTTGGCGATCAGTGGGATGACATTTACTTTCTCATGCAACCGTTTCATGAATTCAATGTCCAGGGGCTTCAGTCTGCAGAGAGACAAAGACACCACTTTACATGTACATTCGGCTTTACATGTGATTCAACTGGAAGCAGTTTCAAACGGTGCTGACAGTTTCTTGGTTAGCTTTCTCTTAGACAAGGATGTTTTTAACTAAACCAAATATAGAAATCTGTGACGCACCGCTGAGGTTCGCACTGTCTAAGGAAATGATCTCATAGTCGTGAGAAAGCGTTGCTATTCTTGGTTGCTTTCAAGCTGGGTAAATAACATTTGCCATTACAGAATTATTAAGTTATAGTAATCACATTGTGTTTCGCTATTAAATAGAATCATATCCTCATTTAATTATTGAAGCGTATCGTTGAAATATCTCTCAGAGTTGACATCTGCAGAGTCTGATGCTCTGAGTGCTCTGAGTAGGATGCATGCTTGTTGTGTAGCCAACAGCCGTGCAGGCCAGTATACGGCAGAAAACCACACGAAAACCCACGAGAACCTGAATTTAAGAACTGACAGTTTGCACAGAAGATCCGAACATATTTAAGCTGCTGCAAACAGAAGTGATAAACCTTCACAATACGACAAACAACAAACGATGACGGCTGGAACATGGAGGAAGTACGTTTATATCAGCAGTGCACATTAACACATCCTCTGTTACTAACAGAAAGGGGACAGTCATTACTTTAAGCTAATGTGTCGTAGCCGTATAGTACCAGCACTACCAAACTCAGTAAAACAGAGCAATGAGATATAAAATGTTATGAACAAGCTCTGGAGCACCTTTGACTTTATAAAAACTGTATAGAAGAATGTGTTAAATCACAAATCATCCATCCATCCATTATCTATACACCACTTAATCCTCACTAGGGTCATGGGGGGCTGGAGTCTATCCCAGCTGACTCAGGGTGAAGGCAGGTTCACCTGGACAGGTAACCACTCTATCACAGAGCTACACTTAGAGACAGACAACCAAGCACACTCACATTCACACCTACGGACAATTTACAATCACCAATTAACCTCAGCATGTTTGTGGACTGTGGGAGGAAGCCGGAGAACCCGGAGAGAACCCACGCTGCACGGGGAGAACATGGAGACTCCACGCAGAAAGATCCCGGGTGTCCTCACCGGGACGCGAACCGGTAACCTTCTTGCTGCGAGGCAACGTTGCTAACCACCGAGCCACCTTGCAGTCACAAATCAGCCGTACGCAATTTATAACCTACGTGACGAGGCCAGTCTGATCTTTATACGGACAGAAAACTGCTGTGAAGTCACTTTCTTTCAGTGTAGGTGTTGGTTTTTAAATTCTGGGTGCCCGTCACTTTGCTGCGTTTTGATGATGGAGGAAATGTCTTTACTTATTTGAAGAAAAAAAAAAACTAAAATTCAGGCACCTGGGGGCAATTTAAGTTATAAATAAATCTTTACGAATGTAAGTATGTTTACCAAAATAGATTCAATGCTTATATGACATTATTATTTACATTTTGAGAAGAAAATCACATCTGAAGAAGAAAAGATCCAACTATTTCTGATGTACTGCTTTATTATCATCTACATTCAAGCTTCCCAGCCATGTATAATAAAAACTTCCATAAGTAATTACAGTAATGTGACCTGGATCCAGGATGGATTAAAACAGTGATAATAATTACAGTTGCTGCTAAAATCATTACTTGGCCACTACAATACAAAAAGCTTTTGAGCTACTGTGGCTAGCAGCAGAGACGCTGCTCTCTATGGGTCTGATGGTGCTGACAGAACCCCACAAAAAAAATGACTAACCTGCCTCCAGCAACACAATCCACTGCAGCCACTGTCCTGTTACCAATAGTGAGTAAGGTCTCCCTGCAAGCTGACTTTTTTTAAGGGAACTGAATTGAAAAGACCTGCAGATACACTTATTTCTTTAAAACCCTGAAGAAAAACCAGTCGCCACAGTTCAGCTACGGAAGCAATAGTCGGAGTATTTTTTTCGGGGCTGGAGGTCATTGTGTTGCTGTGTGCGAGCAGTCAGCTGGTGTTATGAGTGGCTGCTCTGTGAGTGTGGCGAGTGTGTTTGTGTGAGAGCATACGCTGCCCATCCTCAAGGCTAAAGCAACGCTTGTGTGGGTGCAGAGCACAGGCTTGTACAAACACAATGTCTCATAGAAAACAGACTCGGGAAGGCAAAAAGAAAGCACAAGAACAAGGAAGACAAAGGCTTCTACATTGCTTACAGTATGTCATGATCAACAGCTTCAAGGGCATGTGGGCACACGGCAGATATTTGCATATTCGCAAATGAGGCAGCACCACATGGCAGACACAAAAACAACAATACGCTGCGCAACCACGGCAAACAGCATTTTGTATAATTTAAAGGTCAAGAGTCGGGACCAGAGGGAAGCTTTTCATCTTAACATGAATTAAACCCATAAACTTAAATGGCTGAATACTGTTGAGAGTGTTTTTTGTGGCAGGAAATAACCACTGAAGTTTCTCAATTTCACTACTTTGACACTTTCTGCCCTTTGACTGCATCACACAAGACACGTACGCTTCTTAAAGGAACGGCAACACGAGCACATCTTAGCTGGAAGCCAGCTACACAAGATCTGGTAGCTCGTGAATAATAAACATTATAATTAAAATTCCACGCAGTCATCTTTTTATGAAACACTTGGTGATCAGTATCATCTGCTGGGCATTCTGCCAGTGGCTCAGTATGGCTCGCAACCCCCCTCGTTTTTTTTTTTTTTTTTAACAAGCCTCATGTTTTAACCCTTATTTTGCAAGAGAAGCCGACTTGGTCTCACGTTATCATTTCCAGCAATGGCCTAAGGGAGTAGCTGTAAGAGACAGAGTAAGACGACACGTAGTTACTGCACACATTCAAGGGCTGCCAATATGACCACAGCTTGATGCTGTTGGCCAATGAGAAGCAGGAGGAACATCTAGTACCTTTCTGAAAGCCATTTTAGCTTAAACTGCTAAGGGAGGAAGCATTTTATTGGCTGCCTTTCTCTGGATGTTTCAGACTAACCCAGCAGCCTCTGCTTTCAGGCACAAACCTGCATCTCTGACTTCTGGGACACTGTTGACCCTCCATTTCCCTCCTTACACTATTTGTCACTCGTTTCCTCTCACTGTTCTTTTACCCGACCTCTTCCAACCTTTTCCTTTCCCCAGTCCAATGCATTCCTTACCTGCATCCTATTTCTTTATTTTTGAACAATGAAGTCAGTTCACGAGCTTAAATCTAATCAGATGTGCTAATACTAAAAACATGAGTGGTAAAGGTCACTCTGCATAGAAGCATACCTATAAACTGTCTTAGAAAGTTGGGTCCCAGACTCACCCATGTCCCGAGGGGGCAATGAAGTACAGGCAGCAGTGGATTCGGCTGTCAGGCATCTGTCTTCTATTCACCCGAGATTCTGAGTTCAGGTAGTCTTCAAACTTGCTGTCTATGTGATCGATGATTGGCTGCCAGCTGCGTAACACAAATGACATCTTCCGTTAAGTTAAACCTAAACGTACCTCTTGAATGGAATGGCGGAGAGTAGCTTTGATGTTTGAAGGATTACAAATGAAAGAATAATATCTGCGTTGAGCTGCAGTTAAGGCAATCCTCACCAGTTGCTGTTGTCAACAGCATCTCCGAACCCTGGGGTGTCAACTATTGTGAGCAGCAGCTGGACTCCGCCTTCCTTTATTAAAACTTTGGACTGTTCCACCTGAGACAGAAAAAGGAACGACAACCACATTGTGTTAACTTCTGCCCCACATTGTGCCTCTGAAACCAAACCGTTTAAATGGCACAACATGGACGGAGGTGTGAAGAATCATCACCACTGTGAGCAAACTGCATCACAGACTGCATGTTACACGTGGAAAACACTTAGCAGCGAGGGACATGCAGCAACCTGCCATCTCACACTGTGACATTAGCTAGCTATGCTGAAAAGCCAGAAAAGCACACGAGCATTTAGAGATAGTGATGCTGTCAGTCAGGAGCCAGACAGACAAAGTGCAGCACTTGAGGCATTTAAGATTCAGGAGGAGGTTTTGTAATTAGGAAAGATGAGGATAAAGGCATGTATGGCAGGAGCTGGTGGCAGGTCTGAGTTGTTTAACCCCCTGAATCCCAAGCAGTTTCTGAGCGTTTTTTTTTTTTTTTTTTGCTCCGGTCAAATTTTTTACTCATTTTTCACTGCAATATAAAGTTCTGCACCCTTATGGTAAAAGCACAACCGTAGCTAGATGTAGAGAGAACTCGCCAACGTCTTTTGTGCAGAAAACAAAGTTATACTGGTATTTTAAAAAAAAAAGAAAAAAGAAAGTAAGTTGAATTTCATGTATTCATTTTTTTTTTAAAGATATTTTTTGGCTTTATTAGATAGGACAGAGAGAGAGAGAGAGAGAGAGAGACAGGAAAGTGGGGGGAGAAGAAGACCTGCAGCAAAGGGTCATGAGCAGGACTCGAACCCATGACCTCGGCATCGGGGACTGGAGCCCCTATACGTGGGACGCTAGCTCAGCCAGGTGAGCTGTAGCAGCGCCCATAAATATTTATTTTACAAAAATTGAAATAGCCTGGAATCAACACGAACAACATCTGTTCAAGTGCCTACAGGTGTTATCCTATTACGTGCCTTTCAAATCCATCGGCAGGTTCTGGGGTTCAGAGGGTTGAAGAGTTGTGAATGGTGCTATCTACAGAAGAAGTCAGCTGTTACTGGAGCTGGATGTAAATGTAATTTTTTAAATCATATACAAGAATTCTACAAATAAAGACTTTTTGCACCACATCCCATAATTCTCTTCTCCTCACAATGATCAACGGTTTGTGTTTTTAGCGACGGCCTTGCATGACATATGGCGAGAAGGTTAATTGTTCCGATTGTTAACGGAGCTGGTTCTCTGGCATTTTTTGATCCGTTTTTAATATATTAGTTTTGCTACAAAGTCAAAAACTCACAAACACAGATATTAGAGAATCTGTATTTGTTGGCTCTGCCGCTGTGGTTCTTCTGATTGTTTTACCTAAAATGTCAAAATGATGGTTTGGACAGCACAAACCTGTAGCATGGCTTACAGAATCTTACACCGTGTTTACACTGATTTTACTGCAGTGTGCAACATTTCATATCAAAGGTATTTTTGCCACAATGTACCTGCACAGTCTTTTTGATTCTATGTGAAGGTCCAGGATACTCTGCAGAATACAGGTCTGTTAGGAACAGAGAGTTGATCAGCGTGGATTTCCCCAGCCCTGACTCGCCTGTAAAAAAAACAAACAAAAAAAACAGTATGTGAAGAACACTCTGACTTGTACTCCTCATGCAGTGGTTCAAACATTGGCCAGAATGTAGAACAATGCATTACTTGGGATAAAATGTTTAAAACCCAACCCCCTGTATTATACCAACACAAAGTTCACCGCTGACATCCACACAATCAAAGGCCATGTGTCTGTCCGGGGATGCGACTGACATTTGCACAAGACATTAATCCATTTGGGTTAGCAGTTAAAAGGCTAAGGAAACAACATGGACAATGGCACTTGTTATGTGCAGCTGACTGGCTGTGTGGTCTGGGCGACTTCTCAAGCTTGGTTGGCTATTGTGTGCCCAGTTTCCAAGCTCCTGATGAAAAGGATCATTAGTGGAAATGACCACTGGCACCGCCTGCCTTGGCTGATGGTCACAAGTCAATATTTAACGAGCCACCATTTACACTAGACCCACAGTCAAAGGGGGGTGTGTGTGAAGCTCAGACTGTACCACTTGTGTGTCGTGTATTTTATGCATGGCATGTAGCACTGTGCTGTAGGTATGCGCTGGTTAGATTTACTGTAATGTGAAGTGCTAACAGGCCTGTGAAATGAGCTCCTCTGTAATGTGTGAACTGAACAGGTTGTCGGGTCATGAGGCATGGAGAGTTGTGCCAGGCACCGGTGGTAATGCCATCCTATCTGTCTTATTCCGTTCCTCTCATTTTCATCCTCCTTTCACACCACACTGGTGACGCATTGCATTGCATGTGGGCACTGCGGGGACATGTGGGCTCACAGCTAATCAGAGCCAAGAAAAGCTGAATATTGTCTGTGTGTGTGTGAGTGTGCTCATGCAGGAGGATGATACCATAAAACAATGGGAAGCTTTAACTAGCAGAAAGCCCAGAGGACCTCCTGTATTTCCCCTTGTTGCAATGCCTTCATAAAAAAATCTCTTCTTCAATTATTCCCAAAGTGAGGATATTTGCAGCAAACCAACTGAAGCCCTCACAGGCCCCAGAGGCCCACTTGGTCACCATCCAGCAAGAGCACTGAAGAGGACAGGGGCGAGCAGAATCCAAGTGCCTTGTTATGGTGACATTCTACTGTAACTACTTAATAACAGCAATTAAAAGACTGCTCACTCACACATTTGAGGATTTATTACCAGCACCATAAGAAAAGCCTGGAAAGAAACTGCTCGTTGTGAACTCAGTGGGATGTTTTCAGATGCAGGCTGGTTAAATAATTCTGTTGGTCCCTCACAGGAAATGGTTTTGACCCTAGAAAACATTTTCCTTTCAAACAGGGCCTGATCAGCCAAAGAGAATCTTGGCCCGCTGTCAACCACCACATCCAAGCATTTTACAAGAATGTCTGCATTTCTGATTCGCTGAGTGCAGCTCTAGATAAATCCAACCCAAATGTTTTTTTTTTCTCTGGGAGAAAGTGTCAAGTACCTGACATAACGATTAATTCACAGAACAGCAAAGCATTCCCTCCATCCTCTCTGACCTACAAAGTAGCACTAAAAACCCAGGGACCCGTCCTCTGTGTATACAGTAAATATGGCTGTGCACGTGCACACGCGCACGCACACACACTCACACACAATCGCTCGCTCTCTCTCTCTCTCAAAAACAAACCACAGTGAAGGACTTTAAAATGCCAACCGCAAGGAATACAATGAAATGATTCAAACTAAACAAGGGCAAACTGAGGGCTGAGCAGCTTGTGTTCTTACCCACGACCATCAGGGTGAACTCAAAGCCCCTCTTGACAGACTTCCTGTACACTTGGTTGGGGAGGCTTGCAAAGCCAACATATCCCTCCAGATTCTTTTGTTGCTGCAAGACAATAAAAAAAAAAATCACACATTTTAACCACAAGAAAATCTAATTTTGCATCCCTTCATTACCTCAAAGCTCAAAAGAGAAGTCTTGATCATCCTATTCCCCTGCTGCCTACATTGAAATTCATTTAAACTCTTCTAACCCAGGGGTGTCCAATCCTGGTTCTCGAGGGCCACAGTCCTGCATGTTTTAGATGTTTTCCTCTTCCAACACACCTGATTCAAATGATCAACTCATCATCAAGCTCTGCAGAAGCCTGATAACGATCCTGATCATTTGAATCAGGTGTGTTGGAGGGAAACCTCTAAAACATGCAGGACTGTGGCCCTCAAGAACCAGGACTGGACACCCCTGTTCTAACCACTTGAATCTCAACATTTCCGGTATGTAGATTCGAATTTTGATAAAACACTTTTGCTGGCTTTATATATTTACTTTGCAATTGCTTATTTCAGTTGTCACTGTAAATATTTCACACCTACATTCAAGATTATATGAAACAGACATATTCTAACTATGTTGTACATCCTGTCTGTACAGAAAGGTTATTTAAAACATAATTTCTGTACTTACAGCTGGTTCATGTTGATCAATGTAAAATGGTTCCAACGTGCAGAAAGCGACAATGATTCCAGGTTCACAGAAGAAAAGGACAAAAAACAAAAAAGGAAAAGAGAATCAATCTGAGGCCTTCTGACAAACAAAACACTCTGTCTGCAGAATCAGTTTCCCAAGTTGTGAAGCCTGGGGCACAATGATTCATGATCTTCACAACTGTAACTACACAGACAGTTGGCCAGTGTTGTTCATATTCCACTCCACTTGTTCCTTTAATGTCAGCAGCATCATAAAGCAAGGTCCATTCACTGTTGCAGCTTTTTCCTTTTCGCCTGTGGCTAGGAGAGGATTTCTGCTTCTTACGCCTGAGCATCTCCTGCCTACCAACAGCAGCCCACATGTCTTCTGTGTGATACTAGGACTATGCTGATTTGCCTACAGGATATGCAGTTTAATTTTAGCAGCATCTTGCTGCTTCACTTTATGAAACACTGTTTATTGTGCTCTGCAAATAGATAACCTATAAAACATAATCAGTCATCACCTGCAACTCTGCGCAATAAATACCACTGGCATCGCTTTGCACTACTTATCTATATTTTTTATATTTCTGTAAATATCTGTCTGCACTGCCTACGTATATTGTAATTTCTGTACATATCACTCTGGTATCTGTATATAAGGAGAAAAGTCATGTGCAAATTCATTCTACATAATGATAATAAAACTGATTCTGATTTTACTGCAGCCGATCTTTTAAAACTAAAAAGCTGAGAAAAAATGTGAGAGCTGTAATTTTAAAAAAAATGTCAGCAGTGCTCTTCCTATCTGGCCATGACTGACAAATCTTGCTAAAGGAAGTGGTGGCAAGTGGAGCACACGGTTTGCTTCTGCAGATTTTAGAAGGCTCTCCTCAGCAGAACACCAAACCTGATGCTTCAGCTTGAGGGGAAAACTGGTTCAGTGTTCAGGCTTACAGGTCACACTGTGAAGTCAGTGGACTTAAAAGTCAAAACATGAACTCTGAGGTATTAGATCCACTGTAATCCAGATTAGATGGCCGCCGTGTCCTCCTCCTACCTAACCTGACACATCTTCTAGGTCTGCTGTTGACGGCCAAACCTAGATGCTTGTAATCATGGCAGTTTAATCAAATTATTGATCACACACACTGATGCAGCACCTATTTCTGGTACACGGACGACGCTGGGTCGTTTTGCAAACGTTCTCATGGTCAAATGTAGACGCTAACGGCACTCACTGTAGTCGAAGTAACATGAGCTTATTTCCTGTTATCTCACGTCTATAAAAGCCTAAACAGATACCCACAACAGATCGCATCCAATAACGTTTCTTGTCGATCCCTTCTGTTCAAAGCATAAAAGTTAGCATCAACGTGAGCTGTTTAATCTGTTGTACGGCACTAAGTGAGCTAGTTAATGAAACGGTATCTATTGGCTGACAAGCTTTGAAAACGGCTATCTGGAACAGCAACTGGAGGTGTAAGTGGCTTTTAATGTTAACTCATAAAACATTCAAAAACTGAAATACTTGGCTAAAGAGCTAAAGACAGGAAATGACACTCCCGTTAGGTTATGCAGCCTGCTAGCGAACCGACGCTGACAACTGGCTAGCTAGCTAGCAGCCCATCTAACTGGAGGCGGACGACTGGGCGTTGGTTGCTCAGACAACTGCAGAAGCTAAATAGCGGCAAAGCCAATTTGTTTAAATAATGAATCCAACGTTAACTCATATCATCACAGCCCCAGTTTACAACAAGCTTTTGTGAATAAGTCGTGACAGTAGCTGCCTATATTGCTCTCACCCATAACGTTGACGCTCCCTGCCGCCTCAAAAACCGATCATTCACAAGCCGACATTCCCCTTCTCACTACTTTTGCTTGAGCTACGCACAATGAGGGGCGTAACGCCTCCCAGACTCTACGACGCTACGCCGAAAGAAAGACGTAAAATGTACGTGAATAGGACAGGAAGGAACAGTCTAGTCTCACGATAGTTTGCAATTTCTTTGAGTCATGGTACGATCTCGCGATAAACTACACTAACCGTTAAAGCGAGTAGAAATTGACTTATTACTTATTTATCTTTCAAAAAATCGGGCAGTTTTCTCTTTGAACACGCACAATTAATCACACTCCCCACATAGCGTAATTAAATACGAATAAGACCTGTCTTTTTTAACGTACAAAAGGTATCATATTAATGAAGTCGCTAATACGCTCTATAAAAAACAAAAAAATACAATATTATTGGCAGGTCATTTGCAATAAGTATTTTATTTGTCTGTGTCAAGCCGATCAACAACATTATCGTTAAAATACTCTGGTGACGGAATACGAAGAGCGTCTACTGTATCTATAGCAACCAACACTGTCTAATACTACTTACTTGGATTGGTTAAAAATGCAGGTAAATTAGCATCGTATTTTCTCATTTGTTAATGTTGGGGCGTCTGCTGTTGTGACAGTAAAAACTGTGTCACTCATTACCTCGACTGAAGATATTTGTTGAGGCAACATTTGTGTTAATCCTTCCAAATCAGCTGTCTACTGTTGGTTTGCGATGCTGGGAGAAGGGTAAGAGACTACACGTGTGTGTGTTTTTTAGTTCACCTCCAAGTTGAGCAGCTAAATTCAGCTGCTTCTTTTAACCAAGCAAAAAAAAAAAAAAAAAAAAAAAACAAGCTGTTGTGCAAGCTAGCCCTGGTATCTGTGAAGCTAGTTAGAAGAGTTTCTGCTGTTTAAATGTCTGGTTTAAGCAGGTTCATTTTGCATATGTTCAAAAATGTCTCACAGGTTCCTCATGGAAACAAAGAGGAAAACTGAACATGTCCAACACGCTTAAAAATGCAAGAAAAGGAGAAAAAATACTCTTGAAATCCACAGGAATCCAGAGCAAGTAAGCAGTGTTACTTTCTCCTTATGGGTATTTAATGGTCTGATACATAATGTCTGACCTGACAAAAACAAATCACCTGATAAGCCTGTTTTTTAGGGCTTCTCATGATCTCAGGAGGCTCCAGTCCCTGCTTGCCAAAAACCGGCCCAGACAAGAGGTGAGCAACAGCACGTGACGCCACGCTGAGGCAGTTTGTCTAGACATTTTGATAACATACAAACCAGCTCACATTTCTTCAGGTCTGTGTATATTTTGTAGTGTGAGACTCCCTGTGTTGCAGGTGGCAGCGCTGAGTCAGCGTAAAGCATGCAGCGGTGGAGCCAGGAGATCCATAAATCCTCCAAAAGACACCAGCAGACACAGGAGTGAGAGCGCCATCAGCAGCGAAAACTCTGAACTGGAAAAATTCAGGTTTGCCGCCACAAGGAATTTATAATCTTGAAAAAATAGTTCACCTGAAATGAATGTGCTACTGTAGCTGCATTTAAGCATTTTCTCAAACTAGTAACATTTACATGTTCATACATTTTCTCTTTTCCAGGTGTATTCAATTAAGTAAATGCATCTTTTGTCCAAAATGTACCTCATTATTTTCCACATTTCCTTCGTTGTTAACCAGCTTGGCATCCTGTTATATCTGATTGAACAACAAACCTTTTTTCTGTGCTGTGGTTTGAGAAATTTGAATAATATGAGTATTTTTAAATGTAACACAAAAAGCTTAGCTTAAGTTTAGGTATTAAATGTTGTTTAAATACAAGGGAATTTCAAATTGGCAAAAAAGTTGACTAAAAGCAGGAA